CATTTAATGTCAAATGAATGATATTGAATTCTATAGAATAATAATTACTGACAATAAATTTAAATATATTTATTGTATTTTATTTTTATGTTTTAGAGCATGTCAAAATGTGATTAATCTTAATATAAGTTCTTCATACTTACTTTTATCAGAATTCATCGATAATCAATATCTTATTATAATTTTTAAACAAATAAAAATGCTCAATTCAACAACAGAAGATTGTTATATTCCTGGAAATTTTACATCAAAAATTGTCGAACGTTTTCCATCACTTACTGATATTAAACTTCGAGTGTATTCATTTAATGAACTTGTATCTGCTGTTGATATATTACTTTATCATTTAAAAAATTTGTCTTATCTTAAAATTTATTGTAGTTTAATTCCAGTATTCGATGATTATTATTGTCCTAGTTATATTATTGAAAAACGTCGTCAAGCATTTAATTTAAATATTATCGATGAATATAAGGTTGTGGTTAAGAGAAGTGCAGGATATGTAGAAATTAGATTATCATAATTTTATATGTATATAGATTTTTATAGAAATAAAGTTAAAAATGAAAACGTATTGTTTTAAGTCATTTTTATTTTGAACTCAGAAAGATTATTCTGATTGTTGTATGACTTCGAATATTAGATTAATATTCAGGAAAACTTGATAGATTATCTGAAATGTTTTCAAAATAAAAACGTTTGACAAATAATTGTAACATGCGAATAATTTTCTTGAATCATTTTTGTATTGGATAAGAGTTGCAAAAAAAGCTGACTTGTTTTTTTAATTTTATTCTTTATTCAGTTTTTGGTATAATTTTGTATATAAAATAACTGGACTTAGTATTCCATTAGATTGTCCATACGCATATTTTGCCAAAAAATCGATTAATTCAGACCAAAAACGTAACTTGTTATCACTACTACCATCCATACAAAACAAAACTTGAAAACAACGAAGATGAGCAAGAGAAGATATTTCTTGTTTATCAATTAAACGACGTTCAACAATTAAATGATGAATATAAGGTTGAACTATTGACTGTATGGAACCAATAACTAAAAACAAAATAATTACAAAATGTCTATTTCATAAATACATCTTACGAATTTCTTCTGTAAGAATCAATTTTGTAATTCGTTCAGGTAATTTTCTATCAATTAAAAAAACAAGTTGTTATTTTACGAACTCGATGAAAACGAGTTTTCAATTCAATTAATTCATCTGATTTTGTAATCTTCACATGTTCTATATGTTCAGTTCGTTTAATATTTGATCCAACTGATGTCATATATCCATTTTTAACAATAGATAATCGTCGTTGATCATCTTTATTTGATGGGAATCGTAGTGAATATATGTAGGGATCCATTTAGAATTTCCATTAAAATAATAAGTGACATTCATTCACTATCGAACGAAATCTTAAATTAATAATTCTTTTTTTAACATTTACTCTTTATATTGTCCCTATATACTGAGGTTGACAATGAAAAATACAAATAAAAATTCAAGTGTAGTACCCATAATAGTTAAGTTTCATCGGCAATGTTCAAGAACTAAGAAAAATAAATATTTCTAAACAGTTAAGAAGCTCTTATCATAACTATGATAATTTCTCAAGGAATAGAGAATTAAACGTCAGTTCCACCATTCATAATAGCCAAAGTGATGTATTTTCTGAAATATTTTTCATAATCATGTATTCAATTAGAGATGTGAAAGTTTACTCTACTTTACCCTGCAGGAATAGAAAAAGTTTTTCTGAGTCGATTTCATATTGATTGAATATTATTAATCAATTTTTTTATTAAAAATAAAAACAAAAAGACATCATCAAAATAAGTTTATCACCTTTTAGATGATTTTAAACAAACAATTACATTCTTCTTGCTTTAATTGATGTGTTCAATATCATCTAAGAGAAGTTCAAGTTCAAGATTTTCAACAAGTAATTCAATATCATTCTCATGTTTTTCCATATATTGTGCATTATATAAACCATCTGTTGCAGTCAAAAGACATTGAATAAGAGTCATAAATCGTTGAACAGATTCATAAAATCCATATTTATATAGGAGATATTTCCATATGACTTCTGAATAAGTATTTTGAATACGAAAGATCTCAAGTGTATTTATTGGATTTATCATTGCTATTGAAGAAAATATTGTAATATTATTGGAAAAAGTAAATAATGATAATGCAAGTTTAATGATTGCAATATCGGAATCCATATATTTTAATATATGTTCAATCATATCTACGGAAGATTGTCCATAAAGATCTCTACAAGTATTTACAAAATTTTTACACTTGTAAACTTGAGATCGATTCCAACTAAATATTGTACCTAGACAATTAATATTTTCAGCAGCAGTACGAAGAAAAGCATTACGATTATCGGATGATAATCTACGAAGATCACCATTTGAATTGAGATAGTCTCCTGATGTTTCATAAGTTGTCATGAAAAATTGTTTTGAAAGTCTTAAATTGATAGATATTATAGATTTTTCAAGATTATTTTCGTTCATCAATTGTTGACCAATTAAAAGAAGTTTACTTTCATCATAATTATAAAATAAATTAGATAAAAGTGTCCATTGATTAGTATGTAATGTTGAATTATCTGATTGTAAAAGGTTCAATGTTGGTAGCTGAAATTCAATAAAAAAAAAGAGGATTCTTCTCTTGATATATATGTATCTATCAATAGTCATTCATTTTTTAAGTTTTGATAAATGCTATGATTACAAAGAGTTGACTTTCTAGTCACAAAAACAAAAAGCATCATCGAAATCATAGATACCCATCGCGACTGAGAATCTGCGACTAATGCGATACGACACACTATTTAAAAAACTTGCCGCTGCCGCGATGGTATTCAAAAGAACGTTTCGATTATCAAGGTTGTGACTGGTTTGAACTAGAACTGCTGCTGACAATCGACCAGATTTGCTAAGTCTTACAGTATCACATATATGAGCTACGAGATTCATGTATTTTTGGAATTTCTTCTTATAAAAGCTGCCGCCAACGCGACGGCATTATAAAACTCTCTCCCGCGTTGCGATGGTTTTTGAAGAAATCCACCGCTCATGCCACAGTGGCAGCGTCGCCATGAACATCTCTAATAGAAATACTAAACTTGAGTCTGTTCTCAACTTCAATGATGGATTTGTAAAAGAAAATATGTAGGCCTCACATGACACAGAACAATCAAAAGATATCTATTTATTTTTTTGTTTTAGTATACGTTGATATAGATATGAAAGTATTATAAAGGTTTCTATTTCGTCGATTTGTATTACAATTTAAAGAAAATGTGCAAGCAAAACAAGAGTGAACTCTAGAATTGATAATATAAGCCTTTCCCCATCCACATTTTCCAGTAAAATATTGGTTTTAGGCTAGATAATTTCATATCGCATGAAACTTTCATGATATCTTGAGGTTATAGTAGATCTATAGAAATTACTATTTCTATATAATAAAAACCATGCTTGATTAAAAAATAACAAGTTCTGTCATGTTCTATAAATAAATATATTCTTTCAAAGAAAAAAAAGAACTAATTAACTACAACAGGATGTCATCATGGATTCAGGATGTGCAACTAAACAAAAATATAAATAGAGAAAAGCAAAAAAGATTGTTTAACCTGCCTCAGTTGACTATTACCATTTGGCAACATTGAATCAATATTTCGTGAATAGTTAACTTGTAGTGATGATATGTTATTTTTCTTGTTTTTGACAATTCGATAATTACTTTAGCATACATTCATAAGAAAAGAAAAACCTTTTCCTAGAAGATGGCTGGATTCACCTGTAATGCTCGAAATGGGAGCATCTTAATCATAAGAATATTTTTCTTGTGCGTCTGAACATTCAATACTGGACACGATTGATGGTTAATTTTATTTCTTAGGCCTATTGCATGTTGCATCACTAACAGGGATTATTCAATAAATCCGGACAACAAGAAGTATGGATGTTGTCATATGGTAACATCCAGGCATTATGGGCCAAAGCTTTGCAAAGTTCTTGTTTTTTCGTTTTTCACTATCAAATCGCAACATTTTCAGGGTTCTCACTCATTCATAAAGTCAATATAAGAAACAAAAGACACAAATATATATATAGGGTACTTTCACGGGGATCCTCATAGATTTGAATCGACTTTTTCCTAGCAAGATTCAAAAGTCGATTTTATTAAAAACTACCTCGAGAAACCTGTTTGTTTGATTCTTTGTGAACATTCTTTAGAAATTTCGATTTAATCATTAGATAGAACATGAAAAATTGTCTATGTGGAATAATTTTTAGCACAAGATCTCTAGAACTCATTGTTTAAGAGTATTTTCAAATTTGAGGAAAATGGTACTTTATTTTAAAATTTAATTGCCTATAAAGTTTGCTTTTTTTGAAAGTTTTTTTGTTGTCTTGGAAATTCAGAAAGGGGGGAAGCGATGAAACTGGACAAAAAAGGAAAGGAAAAGTATGACAGCACGGTGTATCGTCTTCTGTATTGTTATTTTCTTATTTCTTCTAATTTTTGTGTCTTTCTCTTTTATTTTATCATTTTTCGCACTCATTATTTTAATGTACTTGTTTTTATCTTATTGATGCTAGAGAGAAATATACAGAGCGTCGAGAAAGTCACGACACAGGCACTAAAAATTGAACATCTCCCCATCGCACTCTAACCAAATGAGCTGACTTTTTTTGTCTGAAAACAGAAGGTAGTTGCAGGTTTTTATTCATTTCTAAACAGCTTATTCATTCATATGAAAACAGTACCAATAAATCCGTACACTGCGTATCGCTAAATAACTGGTATATATACCATATATAATGCATCAAAGCTAGTTCGAAAGAATTTGTTCTTCATTGTCTAAACAATCACGAAATTGTTGCACCACAGAACGGCACGTGTCGCTAATGAGTTTTTCACAGGCTTCTTCGATTCTGTCATGGAGCTCACAAATTGTAGCAGATAATTTCCTGAAGAACAATGTTGTTTTTCTTTTAATTTGGAAAACACTTCTGTGTTTTTCTTGGTATTAACAGAAATGAAAAAGATGAGGAATACAACAAAGAATAAGCTGTTTATATATGAATAAAAACCCTACAACTGTTCTCTGTTTTCAGAAAGAAAAAAAGATCAGTTCATTTGGTTAGAGTGCTGTAGAGATATACAATTTTTAATGTTTGTTTCGTGATTTTCTGAAAACCCTGTTTATCTTTGCATTATATCTATTTGCATCTCTCGATAATACAAATTATCGAGAGAATATTTATTATCTTTATTGACATTGGTTATCTAGCATTAAGCTTCCAGTACATCTAGGCATCCCAAGACGGTCAAAAAATGCGATTTTTACCTGGATGTACTATATTAGTGGTTTCTAACAAAAAATAACATATTTCTTTCTGATTATATGTCAATGACAAAACTTTCTTTAAAAAAAAAACAATCTACAAAACTCAATCAAAGAAACTTACACGTTGTAGTTGTTTTTGTTCTTGTATCTTCTGTAAAATATTCGAAGATTCTATCGTAGATTTCGACATTTTATTTTGTTTTCGTTTTGATGTAATTTTTTTCGTTAAAGAAGATCGAAATAAATCAGATTGCATTCCATTTTGAAAACATTTAGTAAGTCGACAAGACGAACATATACGACGATTATTAATATTAACATCACATTGACCAGAATAAAGACATTTAAAGTGTTTCTAAATAAAGAATTAAAAACAAAAAAAAAAAAACATATTATAACAATAAAAACTAACTTGTCCTGTTATAGCATTTCGTTTAAAAAACATTTTACATGGTGAACATGAAATGACACCATAATTTGAATGTAAAGCAGAAGCGCCACAAATTTTGCATTGACGAGAAAATTGTTCTAATTTTTGTATGATATTCGATGTATGAGAAGATAATATTGCATTATTAACAATTATATTTTTATCAATTGTTTCTTCCATTATTTAATTGTATAATTAAATATTCTATCTCAATTAAAAACTAATGAGATAATAAATTGCATTTTGTTTTTGTTATAGCAGAATTTAGATCTTTGTCTAAAATGATAAAAGTAATGTCTACGATAATTTCTTAAAAAGTAGGAAAGAAGATCTTGGTTGTTCTTTTTTCTTTTTTGGTGTAGAATGTGTGCTCATTTCTTGATCTTTACGTTATTCTGCATTTAGTTGACATACTTATATCCTTTCTCTAATATTTTTCTTCATAGGAAGGAAGAGAAATCTTTCTTTCACTCTTTCTGTTTTTATTCTGTTTTCATACTATATTTGTATGACAGAAATTGACGATTGACGTCTCATCTGTCTCGAAGTTTCT